AAGGCCACCGCATGATCTCAGCATCCAAGCAAGATGAAAATTACCATCTTCCATGTAACATTATATCTTTTAAATTTTGATTTAAATAATCACAAAAATCTCTCAAACTACTTAACGGACTTATTTCAGGATAATCTTCTCTGAGGACAGTATCAAACTTCATCCAATCCCTGTGTATGGTAAGCACTCAGCCACTGAACACCCTGTACTCCAGCCTCCGATGCAGCATAGCTTAATTAACTATTCTCCTCTTATACAAAAAATTAGTTTGCTTCCAGTTTCTTCCCATGGTAAATGGCACTGTAATACATATCCTATAAAGAACTTTTGGTAACCCTTAGATCACTGTCTTGGGATTAGCACTAAGGGACAAGATGATTTCATCAAAAGACATGAATATTTTGACTGTCATGACTTGACAAACTGTTTCCATCCCAGGTGGTGGCAGTCCCTTGGGGCTGAGAAACATTGATCTCATCACACCAGCTACAGTACTGTAGTCTCTTCCTGGGGGAACTGAGACCCTCAAAAAAGAAGGGATTGGCCTAAGGGCACATACCCAACACCAACCCTAGTTTTAGGATCTGGTCTTGCTTGATTCTTTGGTTTAGGACATTAATACAGATAATCCTGTCAGTGAATTTGATTGAATTCAAGATCTACTGGCTCCTATTGACCATCCAGAAGCTATTCTTCATAATTCTTCACTCATCCAAATATTTTGACATTGTGTTTGTGTTGAAAGATAAACAGGTACTTCCAGCCAAGAGGATCACCCATGAACTTGAGGCCAGCCTAGGCTACATAGTGAGTTCCAGGCCAACCTGGTCTGCAGAGGGAGACCTGTCAAAAAAGAAAGCAGGCTGGAGAGATGGCTCAGTGGTTAAAACTGCTTTCTGCTCTTCCAGAGAACCCAAATTCTCAGCATCCACATTTCGCAGCTTATAACCACCTTTAACTCCAGCTCCAGGGCCTCTGGCATCCTCTTCTGACCTCTGCAGGCACACAGACACACAATACACATAAATTTGAAAAACAATAAAAATGAATCTTGAGAAAAGGAAAAAGGAAGAAATGAAAAAAGGAAGGAAGAAGGAAGGAGGAGGAAGGAAGGAAGGAGGAAGGGAGGGAGGAAGGAAGGAAGGAAAGAAGGAAGGAAGGGAGGAAGGAGGAAGGAAGGAAGGAGGAAGGAAGAGGAAGGAAGGAGGAAGGAGGAGGAAGGAAGGAAGGAGGAAGGAAGGAAGGGAGGAAGGAAGAAGGAAGGAAGGAAGGAGGAAGGAAGAAGGAAGGAGGAGGAAGGAAGGAAGGAGGAAGGAAGGAAGGGAGGAAGGAAGGGAAAAAGGGAGGAAGGGGAAGCTTCTCTTTTCTGCAGTGGGTGTGAAGCAACATCAGTCGACCAAGGACGGGCAGCAGCAATCTAAATATCCCAAAGGCCGTACACACACAGGCTGCAATGGTTTCTCTGAAGTCGATATGAAGTTGTCCACTTTCAGTTTGCAGAACTTGGGAGGAAAAATCGGTTTTACTTTCTCTCTAAAATCACCCTCCCTTATACCAAAGATAACCATAGAAATCCAAATTTGGTTCCAAAATAAATTCAATCCCATTCAACTTGGCCTAATTCAACCATTTGTCTATGTCCAGCCAAGCAATGATTGCCCGTGTAAGTTCTTGGAGGCTTGGAGATTATGGGGAAGGAAGGAAGGAAGGAAGGAAGGAAGGAGGAGGGAAGGAGGGAGGGAGGGAGGAAGGAAGGAGGAAGGAAGGAAGGAAGGGAGGAGGGAAGGAAGAAAGAAGGAGGAAGGAAGGAAGGAGGAGGAAGGAAGAAGGAGGAGGAAGGAAGGAAGGAGGAAGGGAGGGAGGGAGGAAGGAAGGAGGAAGGAAGGAAGGAGGAAGGGAGGAAGGAAGGAGGAAGGAAGGAAGGAGGAAGGGAGGAAGGAGGAAGGAAGGAAGGAAGGAAGGGAGGAAGGAGGAAGGAAGGAAGGAAGGAAGGAAGGGAGGGAGGGAGGGAAGGAAACCCAAAGTCCCATCTAAAAGAGACTCCTTAGGAGTAGTGAGCCAAGTCACCCTTGGAACAAAGACTAGGCCTTCTACTTGGAGTTAACATACTTGGTTTCGCATTCAGAACAACCCATTGTAAACAGAACTGTTTTTGCAGGAGAATTTGCTTCATCATATGAAATTTATAAAATACTGCTATATGGCAGATCATATGGACACAGCTGCAAACAGGGCCCACCTATTCCCCACATCATGGAGTCTGTGGTCAATCTGCTGGCAATGAAAGAGGCAATAACACAGATTAAGGCAAATCTTATTTTTATTTTTATAGATAGGGTCTCACTTTGTAGCTGTGGCTGGCCTCAAAGTTGGGATGATCCTTCTGTCTCATTTTCCCAGTGCTGGAAAGACCAAGGCAAATGGTGTTATCAAGAAGGCCCTGGATCTGGTCTCTCTTCTCAGGACACAACCACTTCTACTGCCACGTTCCAGGCACATGAGACTGTCTCACCTTCAGACCCTGACTTCTGTACTATACACTAAGCTCTAAGCTGCTGAAAAACAAGACTGAAGGAAAAAAAAAACCCACCAGAATCTACAGGTTGACAAGAGTTGTTATAGCTGCACAACTTGTTCCCTAAATATTTTTACAAACATTGCTTATTATTACTGTATTTGTATATGCATGATGTGGATGCATGTGCCATGGTGCATGTGTGAAGGTCCAAGGACAACTTTGTGGAGTCACTTCTCTTACATGGGTTCCAGGATCAAACTCAGATCACCAGGCTTGTACAGCAAGTGCGTTTACCCACTGGGCCATCTCACCAGACCACACTAAATATCTTTTAGTACAGTTTAGCAGGCATGGAAGTTCCTCGGATTCACAATGTCTAATCCATGGGGACTGAGAAGGAAAGGCACGAATACTTCCTAAACAGTTTTTGCTAGTCTATTTTGCAAGATATTTTTGTCCATCCAAAGGAGACACATGATTCTTTGAGGGTTAATTTTGATTTCCGTTTAATTTTAGAAAAATGTAGCCAAGCATATGACACACACTTGCAATCCCAGCACTGAGGAAATGCGGAAGCAGAAGGACAAAGGCCAGCCTGGGCTACATAGTGAGTTTCAGGTCAGCCTGGGTATAGAGTGAAACTCTATCTCAAAGAACCAATAAATACATAAAAATACAAACATAAATCTTAATTTACATATGTTACAGTTTGGGGAAGAATAAGATCTATCTCTGTGTTTCTTTTATTATTTGGTAAAATACACATAAAATTAAGTTTACCAGCTTGGTATGGTAAGACTTAGTTTTGTTTTGTTCAGCTGGCTCTGACAACTCAATTTTTAAAAGTTTTATTGAAGTATGGCCATCAAAGTCATCTCCCTTAAGTAGGTGAATGAATGAATTTTTAAAAATTTAGAATTCTTAGCTGATTGTAGTGGTATAATTTATAATCTCAGCACTGGAGTGACAGAGGCAGATGAATCCCCAGAAGTTGGAGTCTAGCTTAGTATGCATAGTGAGCCCCAAGCAGCTAGGGTTACAACACATGATTCTTCCTTAAACAAACAAACAAACAAGAAAGAAAGAAGAGGTGCTGGAGAGATGGTTCAGCAGTTAAGAACACTGGCTGTTCTACAGAGGACCTGAGTTCAGTTCTCAGCACCCTCATCAGGTGGCTCACAACAGCCTGTAACTTCATTCAGGTCTAGGGGATTCCACACAGCACACGAGTACATACACACATACACATAAGTAAAATAAAAATAAATCTTAAAAAGAAGAAATTTAGCCAGGCGTGGTGGCGCATGCCTTTAATCCCAGCACTTGGGAGGCAGAGGCAGGAAGATCTCTGTGAGTTTGAGGCCAGCCTGGTCTACATAGCGAGTTCCAAGTCAGCTGGGGCTACAGGGAGACCCTGTCTCAAAAGGAAAAAAAAAAGAAGAAATTTATAAAGTTGTATCTTAATTCAGTTTTAGAACATTTCTATTACTAAAAAGTTGCCTTGAGCCTATTGGCAGTTAACATCTTTTTTAAAACTTTATTTTTATGTGTATGAGTGTTTGTTTTGCCTCCACGTATGGATGTGTACCACATTCCTGCAGAGGCAGAAGAGGGTGTGGATCCGCTGGAACTAGAGTTACAGATAGTTGTTAGCCACCATGTGTGTGCTAGGAATCAAACTCAAGTACTCTGCAAGAGCAGCCAGTGCTCTTAACTGCTGAGCCATCTCTCCAGCCCCGAGAAAGGTAAATTTTAATTTGTTATTGTTTGAGTCAGTCTCATACATCCAGACTGGGCTGGAATGCATGATCTTCCTACCTCAGACTCCTGAGTGCTTACACTGTTAAACTTACAATTTTTGAGATTGTGAGGGCTTTTTTTTTTTTATACAACACACACACACACACACACACACACACACACACACACACACACACACACACACTCTGCAGCCATGAGTGTCTGTGCACGCCTGTAATCTCATCGCTCAGGGGATTGAAATAAGGGGACCAAGACAAGGAGAGAGGGAGAAATGGAGGTGATGGAGGGAGAGGGGGAATAAAAGGAAAGGAGAGGATAGGAAGGGGAGGTGGATGGGGAGGAGGAAGGAGAGAGACTCTATAGTGTAATTAGATTAACTGGTCAGCTCTTAGTGTGGAGTTAGCCTCTTTCCGCTGGTTTTTTTTTTTTTTTTTGTATCTGAATGTCATCAGGAATACAATGTTCCTTGGTTATAAAATTAAACAACTGTTCATTCTCTTATTAGATTTGCCTGTAAATCTATCAATCAATCAGTCAATTTTAAGACCTCACAATAAACACTTTTATTTACTCATTTAGAAAAGGAGAAATAAAGTCCTGGGGAAGCTTCTCACACAGCCTGGAGCCCTGCCCCCCTGCATTTCCGCTTCCCGACTGCCAAGGCCCCCTTAGGAGCTGGGAGACCCCAACTAGCGACTGACACTTCCTCCCACGCTCGCCAGTCTCGTTTCCATGGAGACAAACCTCCTTGCCTAGAGCTGGAGGTTGGCGGGCCAGACCTCTGCTACAGGCTAGGGGCGAAAGGAGGAGCCTTGGAGAGGCGCCTGAGCTCCTCGGGGCCTGCGGAGGCCCCCAGCTCCGCTGGCTCCGCCCCCGCTGCACCCACCCACCCTGGGTCGTAGAAATACTGCTGCAGCCCCGGCCACCGCCCACTGCGCTCGGACCCGGCGGGGACTTGGCCGTACTGTCGCAGCTAACTCGCCTGCCCGCTCACGGTGCCATGGCTGAGGGTGCCTTTCAACGCAGGCCCTGGGGTCCTGAGCAGATGCACTCGGATTCCGACCCCGAGTCCGACGGCCTATTTGATAAGCCTCCCCAGGAGGAGCCCTGCGCTGCCCGCGCACCCAAGTCCGCGTCCTCGGCTGGCAAGAAAGCTGGTCGGCGCGCTGGCGGGAAGACTCAGGGGGCCCGCGCTGGGCAGCCCCCTAAGGCCGCCGCGCGCCCCCAGCCCAAGGAGGAGGAGCCTCTCCCGGACGAGGGCTGCTATCTCGACCACTTCCCGCACCTCTCCATCTTTATCTACGCGGCCATCGCCTTCTCCATCACCTCCTGCATCTTCACCTATATCCATTTGCAGCTCGCCTGAGTGGTCAGGGCCGGACGGGGTGGGTGCAGAGCCAGGGGGAGGTTGGGGGAGGGAGGGGAACTGAAAGGCTCAGTCTTTTGTTTTGGAGAGGCGCTGCACACCCCCCCCCCATGTAGCTTTCGATGCTGCTTTTCTTCATTTGTCGCTCTTTGTCTAGCTGTCCATCAGAAGGTCCAAAGATGTGCGCAGTGAAATCGCGGTGCTACTTGCACCAACACATTGAGTGGTTAGTCCCTAAGGTTTGGAATTCCTGGAGTGCGATTGCTCCCCGTTTGTAATTAAGATAATGTTGCTGTACCCTACCACTTTGTGATGTGCGGGCCGGCTCAGCAAGCCCAGCATTTTTGTGTTTGTGGAGCGCAGAGCTTGTCCAACCTTCTGCTGCTTAAAGGATAAACCAGACCCGAACCCGCGGCCTCCCAGAGAGGGTACTGCGGGGGCAGTGGGGGCTCTGGCCAAGAGTGAGCGGGAGCCCTGTGATGCTGCGTCGCCCCAGGGTGAGCCAGCGGTGCCTCGACTCAGAGTGCACGGAGCTGGCGGACCTGGGAGTGCAGCGGGCATGGCCGGAGTGCTGGACAAGGTGAGTGACGTTTGTCAGGATACGATCATGTGTCCCCAGGAGTTCGAGCTGACGGGGATTGTGCATTTTCTTCCTGTTTTAGGTTTTGTTGCTATCAGGAGGAGCGAGGCCTGTCCACCAGAAAGCTAGGCGCAAGGCGGTTTTTTTGGACTGCGTAATACAGGAGGCTACAGATCTCCGGGACGACACAGACTCAGAACTCATGGGTGCGGCAAATGAGACTAAGGGTGTTCCTTGGGGGTCTATACTAGAGAATTTTGGGTGATTTCATTCTGGCCTGGGGCCCATGTGAAGCTATGGACGAAGATGAAGGTCTGAGGATGGGAAATGTCAGTAACAAGTGTCCTGCTAGGTAGGGTCTGTCATCTTAGACTCATAAAAGCGAATTCCAGAACCCACCTCTGCAGGTTTTTTGCCTAACCGCTGTTTACTCGTGAATGTCAACTGTTCAAATACTGCGCTCCAACCTGCGTATGCTCTATGGAAATGTCTGTAATTGTGGTATCTCGGATGGAATAAATCATTCTTCAGTCTCTATATTCAGTTGTTTATTAATTTCCATCTATACAATGGGCCCTGCCAGATTTCCTCTTCTCCCGATTTTACCCCCATCCCCCACCCTCTGCATCCCTACAACAGGCTTCATTATCCAGCATTCCTAGCTAGGTACAGCATCTCCCCACACAAAATAGCTATATGGGACCCTCAACGGCATCCTTCACTATATCCCGGTTCCCAATTTCACCATCCCCACAGCAGGTCTTCCACTACTGCATTGTGCTGCTACCTACTGCTCCTCGGTACTTAGTCCCCACGCCCTATCAAGACACTTCTGGCCCAGTACAGTCTTTCAATTAAGCTCTGGATCTGCCCAGTGGCCCAGCCTGGGTCTTTGTGTTCAATAAAAAGGCCTTCCTTCACAGTTCTGACTTCCCCTAACTGCTCATCACTGTGGCTTTTTACTTTGAGTGCCACTAGTATGAATGACATCCATTGTTCCTCAATGTCAGCATGTTTTACAGCCAGTTTACAGTAATTCCGTCAATGGCACTGTTCCCCCAAAGCACACCTCCAAGGTACCACATAGGTATCAGTTTTTACTCTTGGATACTGGATTTGTACTGTCCCTTAGTGTTGATTCCCACAGAATCTATACATATGGCTCATACCTTCTACACATTTGATCCCATTGTTTCCTATTCACACATGCCCTGTTATCTCTCATTTTACAGTCCCAGGTAAGATCCTTCACCATCAGTCTGTCACCTAATCTCCTGACAGACTCCTCCCCCATACCCCAAACCAAAATTCCCTGTCCATCAACGTTATTGTTCCACATTATGATGCTTGCATGCTTGCTATCTGACCTAAGCGGCCATTTTCTACCCCCAGTTCAAACATCTGGTTCCATCAACTATACAATTGTTAGACCTACCGTTGCCACAATGGTTAACATTGACCTCAGTGTTAGGGCTGGAGAAAGAACACAGCTGTTAGAAATGCCTGCTGCTCTTCCAGAGGATCAGAGTTCAGCACCCAGGACAGCTAACTCCAGCTCCAAAGGATCCAAAACCACCTTCCAGCTCCTGTAGCCAGCACAGAGACATACAATTTTTTTAAAGTCTCAGATATCCAGGGCTGGAGAGATGGCTCGGCGGTTAAGAGCACTGACTGCTCTTGCAGAGGACTCGGGTTCGATTCCCAGCACCCACATGGCAGCTACTAACCATCCTTAAAACTCCAGTTCCAGGAGCCCTCTTCTGACCTCCACAGCATTGCACAACACGGGTGCATTCACATACATGCAGGCAATACACTCATACACATAAAATAGATATTTAAAAAAGTCTCAAATATCCAACCTCAATCTAGGAGTGTAAGTCAATAAAATGAACCCTGGGTTCAGTACCCAATACAGCAAAAACAGCCCATTATCTTTGATAATTTATTGCATTGTTCTCCACATACTGTCTCCCCAATGTTGTAACTGCCTTCCCCAAATTAAGCCCACTCAGACCTAAAATTTAATAACTTTTCTTCCCAAAACTCCAAAATTCTCTATTGGTCTATTTGCTCTTCAATTGTTCATTCTTCTTGAAATCTCTGGGTCTACTGAGTTTGTGTTTGGCCTACTTTCTTTTGAGACAGGGTCTCCCTATAACCCCAGCTGGCCTGGAACTCACTATGTAGGCCAGGCTGAACTCAAAACTCAAGAGATCCGCCTGCCTCTGCCTGCCTTTGCTGGGATTAAAGGTATGCGCTGCCACACCTAGCTTTGGCCTATTTTCTAAAAAATATTAAACTTTCACTAATTCCCCATCATCCACATCCCTTTAAAATAGCATGTAGTAAAAGAAATAGTTTTTCAAAGGAAAATGGAAGTATGGGCAGGTAAAAGCATCAGATATCTAATTCAGCAGATCATAATGGAGTGTCAATTGTTTGAGGCAAGCATCATGTTAATGTATTGGGTTGTCAGTGGTAGGCAGGCACATGAGCAGTGACTGATTATAGGACAGTACTATGCTTGAGGGAGACGTTGGAATTTAGCTATCTGGGACAGCATGTGAGGCCTCAGATTTTGTTTCCTTAACAAGCATACCTTTATGAATGAGTATCTTACTTTGATTTCACTAAGTCCATAGCTGCTATAACAACCTGGTGACTCAAAACACCAGAAATATCCATGTTGTGGAAACCAGTAATCTAAAAACGAGGCACACCATTTCTGGAAGCTCTGAGAATCTGTTCTTTGCCTCTTCTAGCTTGTGGCTACAGTATTCCAATTTGCCAAAGGTCAGAATCTCCTAGTCTTTCATCTCACATCCTCCTCTGGCTCCCCCTTTCCCCTAGCTTTCTCCTTATAGGAACATTTATCATCACTGGATTTAGGGCCCATCAAGATAATTCAAGATGGTCTCCTCAACTCCAGACACTTAATTTAAAGATCCCAAGAACTGCAATATTAACACATCTTTTGAGGGATCACCACTCAGCTCACTACATTAGGGTTCCAATGTGGTACAAATGTGAAAGCTTTCATTTAAGTAAAAAGCCACACTAATATCAAGTGTATTTGGCAGTTCTGTAATCTCAGAGCTTGGGAGGTAAGAGGCGGGAGGATCAAGAGTTCAAGGCGAGTGACAGCTACACAGGGAGTTTGAGGCCAGTTTGGATACATGAGATATTGCTTCAAAAAAAAAAAAAAGAAGACAAAATGGACTGCAGATTCAACTGTTAGTAGAGTGCTTGCCTAGCATGCATGAAGCCCCAGGTTTAATACCCAGCACTGCACAGAAGTAGGCATGGTGGTGGTCACCTATAATGTCAAGCACTCTGGAGGTAGAGGCAGAAGACTAGAAGTTCAAGGTCATTTTCAGCTACATAGTAAGTAAAGTGAGTTCCACATCAGCTGAGACTACAAGAAAACCCTGAAAAAAAAAAAAAAAAAAAAAATTAAAGACAAACTGAAAAAAGAAACATGCTACAGACATTAGAACATGAAAGTCCAAAGCTTTTAAGGCATGTTTATTTCATGTACAGGACTAAAACAGGACTTTATAACAATAAACACAGGTTTTCTAAGTCTGTGACTATCTAATTACAAATATTGATACTTTAAATTGTCCCTTCTATACAAAAGGAACAAATTCCAGATAGATCCTGTTCTTTAGAAAGACATGGAAGATAAGTGATACCTTAAAAGCAATTACTGCTGTTTCTGCTGAACTGTTGCACATTACATATTTGATGATGCTTACAACAGTGAATAAATTGATACAAAACCCAAGAGTCAAAAAAAAAAAATTTCATTCCTGGGTATGTATGGCCAAGTTTTCTTTTCTTCTGCAGTGGGATCTGCTTTGGTCCTATGTCTTCTCCTGCTGGACTCCAAGGCTAACTCTTAACACCATCAGGGCTTGTCCACTGGAGAGATTTATTTTGGAAATAAATCTTCTCTACCAAAGACCAATGTTGTTTATGCCACTTCCTTCTTCCAACCAGGTATCAACTTCCTCATGTAAGCACAGTTCTAGCAGAGGCAAACACTGTGTCAGCCGCTCCTAGTGTGATAAAGAAGTCACCTGTTTAGCCCTTTTCTCACTTGGTCTCAGTCTAAAGGAAGATCAGAGTGCTCATGACCAAGGTATACCCTTACAAGTATCTGGCTTATAGCTTCACTTCCTTAGCCCCAAATAAGCTGCTGCTGAATAAAGAACCCCCTTCCACCTATTGGAGGTCTCTAATAAACAGATGCTTCCAAGACTATTTCAAGGTAGTACATAAATACTTCAGAAAAGTGGACCTAAAAAAGTTGGAAAATATAGGAGGAAACAAAATCTTACTTTTTTATATTCTTTCTATTACTGAGAAATTAAGGCATCTCTAGTCTTTTGCTTTCCTTTTCCACATTGTCTCTAATGCTCTGGAGTTTTCTGGAGTTCTGGAGCAGGGACACCAAACTCTCCCTAAAATCACTAGTTCCATGATCCCTGCCAGCATTTTCAAGCTCATCAAACAAAGTCAAGGTCTCTTTGAGTTTGGCTTGAACAATTTTTTGCTCTTCTAGTTCTGCAAGAAGGGCTTGCTTCGTACACAGTTCAGTCTTATACTTCTCCTGTAACTCTTCAATTTCCTTTTTGAGAAGCTGGAATTCTTCTTCACTAAAAGGATGCATCTCCTGACATTTATCTTCAGGAAGCAGGATGTTTGGGGGAATACGCAAAATTAACTGCAAAAAGAGCTGCTCCATTTTGCCAAAAAGCTTATCAAAACGTTTTTTCATGAAGCCAAGAAACTTCTCTGTACATTTACGAATCTGGACAGGGCTAATCTCACAGTCTGGAATGTCCTCCAGCTTCTTCAGAATAACCTGTTCAACAGCCTGCATCACTTCAAACAGGTAGTCTTGAAATGCAATATAGATCCTCAGTAGGCAAGTTTGTGGTGTGAAGCCGAAGAACTGGGCCTCATAGATCATTGGATCTACAGACATCTTGCTTCACTTTGCTATTCTCAATTGTGAAAAATCTGTAAATATAAAAAGAAGAAAATTGGATAGAATCATCAGTGTAGGGGGCTGGAGAGAGTTCAGCAGTTAAGAGCACTGGCTGTGTTTGCAGAAGACTCATGATGTTTGGTTCCTAGCACCCACAGAGTGACTAACGACCACCTATAACTCCAGTTCTAGGGGATCCAATGCTCTCTTCTAGCCTCTGCGGGTGTCACACAATACATGACACAGGACAAGGGTGCACTTATATACATGCACACAAAACACATACTCATAAACACACACAAACAAATCAGCAAAACAAAACTTGCAGATGGCAAATAAACAAAGGAAGCAAATACAAACTAAAGAGTTTGTGTTTCTTTGATACCTGACATTACTTCTAGCCTTGTCCACAGAAGGATGAAAGCTGCTGCCTCTCTCTTCCCTCAGTCTATAACCTCCTTATTGTTCATTTCCCTCATTTATTGAAGACAGGCACATAGCCAATCTTCTGTTCTGCTATATTAGGCAACTTTTAAAGTTTAACTAGATGACCTATCCAGTGCCCTAAAGCTTCAATAACCTCTATGCCCTGCCCCCTCCCCTTCTGACACAGGGGCTTGCTATGTAGCCCAAAGGATTGGTCTCAAAATTTTTCATTTCTTTGTGACAAGATCTCATGTATCCCAAGCTGGCCTCAAACTTGGTATGCAGCTTGAGAATGACTCTGAACTTCTTTTTCTACCTTGACTGCCAGAGTGCTGAGAATACAGGCATACACCAACAAAACCAGTTTGTTTTGTTTTTTAGTATTTTGTTGTTTTTATTTTATGTGTATTAATGTGCTGCCTACATGTGTGTAAGCGTACCCATGCCGTGCAATGTCCACGGGGGCCAGAAGAAGGCACTGGATTCCCCTGGAACTGGAGTTATGGACGGTTGTTAGCCACCATGTAGATGCTAGCAATCAAACCCAGGTCCTCTGCAAGAGCAGTCAGTGCTCTTAACCACTGAGCCATCTCTTCTCGTTTTGTTTGAGGATGGATAACAGGACCCTATATGCTAAAAGGTAAGCACTCCACTAAGCTATTTCCAGCCCCTTCCTGTGCTATTCTAATTGTCATTCACATAGTACTTTAAGCTTCTGAACTTCTCTTTCTTGGTCTCAGCCCTTCCCAATTCATTTCTTTCCCCATTTCTTTTATGTTTCATGACATCATTTTAAATGCCCCATTATAAATGTCAATTCCTTTGTCTTACAACCTAGCCATCTAAGAAAAAAAAATCCTACTAGATGATCAAATCTTTTACCTTGACTTGTTTCAAGGATCTTAAGAGGCATTCCTTTTGAATGCAAGTATCTAGGAAAATAGCATCCCATTTTCCTGTCACTGTAGGAGCTTAACATAGGTATCTCTGTCCTACCTTAATGAAATAAGACAAGTTTTACTCCACCTCCAGGTAAAGGCATTTAATGTAATCCACAAACTGCTGCTTCAACTACAAGGTGAATTTTGGTCAATTTCACACACACACACACACACACACACACACACACACAAAGCATAACCAATGGTGTGCACCAATCTTATGGGAAAACAGGATGCTATTACTCTTGAAAACTTGTATATGTTATAGTTTAAAAGAGTGGTAATTAGTTTAAAAGAGTGGTAATAGTGCAAACATCTCAATATCAATTGCATTAAAAATGAATTTTTCTATATGAAACTGTATTTTAATAATGAAATGGAGATCTTTTTTAAAGGTTGAACCTCATTTAATTTTATGTCTTGTAGGGTTTATGCTGAGGACAATATTGTATAACTGTATTAACTCAACTGAAAACCTAAAAATTTACAGCCAATTTTGAGATGCATCTTAGCTCTGGAAATTGTTGTTGAATATGTCAATGCTGTTGTAATGGAATGCTTCTTCTAATTATGTGGTTATTAAATAAATAATTAAAAGAAAAAGGAGTGGTGATAACTGTGCGGCCATATAAATAGAATCTGTTTTTAGTCTCATTTACAGATCATCCCTGGATTGATCTGTAGGATGTTTAATTTCCCAAACTCTTCCCAGAGATTATGTTCCTACGTAATCATGTTACTTAGGCTGGTCTCAAACTTTCTATCATGTTACTTAGGTTGGCCTCAAACTTTCTATCTTTCCACCTCAGGCTCCCAAATAGCAGGATGATAGAAATATGCCATGGTGTCAAGCTCTCTCAAGACTTTTTTTTTGGGGGGGGGGGAGCAAGCATGGAAAGATAGTTCAGTGGTTAAGAGTGCACAGTGCTCTTGCAGAGGACCATTCTTCAGTTCCCAAAACCCACGTCATGTGGCTCACGACTACAGTAAGTTAACTCCAGCTCCTGGGGATCCAAAGCCCTCTTTTGGCCTCTGCAAGCATTGCACTCTTGTATACAAATTCACACACACACACACACACACACACAAAGCATTTTAAAACTTTTTTTTTATTTGAATCTATTTGTACTTTATTAATTTGTTTTTTTTTTAATTTATTGAATTTCATACAGAACATCTCACTCAATCTTAATCATTTTTATACCCCCTTCTCCACTGGCACCCTCCCATTGCCTCCCTACTGGAATTCATACATTCTGTCATCTGTGTTAAGGCCTATTGTGTCAAGTTAGTGTCCCCAGACATTTCTCAGTGCAAGTTCAACTCAAGTTCATCTACTGAGGTCTAGTCAGCCCATCTGGAGCCCCTCACTTTAGAAAGAAATGGTGATAGCATGCACAAGGCCCACGCAAACTCAAGCAGACAAAAACCCAGCATAGCAGGCCCCAATCTTAGCTGAAAAAATATTGGTAACTGATTACTGCCACACAAGCTGATCTTCCCAAACAAAAATTTTTAAGCTTTCCTCCCCCCCCACCTTT